CAACATTCACTGCTCTCCCCTCATTCACCAAGCCAATCATAGCAGTCATGTCAAACGTGATTTCCTTTTCATAGATCATCCAGACAAAATTCTTGTCCTTCATGTGTTTGGAAATGGTTTTCAGGATTATTTGCTTTGTCACCTTCCCAGAGATCAAGTTGAGACTGACTGATTGAATGCTCTCAGCATTCTCCTCCTTGATTTTCTCAGAGATGGGGGGACATTTCCTTTCTTCTGGTCCTCAGAAATTGCCTCCAATCACCATGATCTTTCAGAGACAATCAAGAGTGATTTCACAACTACATTAGGCAACTACTAGGGGTATTGCATGAGAGCCCATGGGCTCATGTCTGTCCAGTTTGTTTAAATATTCACTAACCTGGTCCTCTTCCTTGCTCCAGGCTTTCTCCTTCATCTCAAGAAGGCATACAGTACCCCTTTTCCATGTCATTTGTCACCAGGTCCCCTGCCCTATTTATCATCACACACACATTTACCCCATCTTGCTTTAGCAGATGACATACCCACAGAAGTCCTGTTTGCTGCCCTCTACAGTCCTGCTGCTATCACTTCTATGTGTCCTTTTTATGTTTGAGTTTAGTCAGGAGCTCACTGTTCATTTGCAGGCTGCCACCTTCTCTTGATTTTCTGCTTCTCCAGGCAGACAACTATTGAGCTTGGAGGAGGTGATCTTACAGAGTCAACAAACTCTCCAGGAACCCCTGTCTTTCCAGAACCACCTCCCATGGCATTCTTCCAAGCAGACCCCTCAACAGTGATTTTTTTCCTTCCCAAGGATCAGAGTCATGATCCTGCTTTTTGCCTTATTCCCTCTTTGCAGCAACTTCACCATCTCATGATCACTGCAGCAGGGCTGCACCTGACATTCACATCCCTGGCTAGTTCTTCCTTGTTTGTAAAAGTATGATGCCTAGCAGAGCTCCCCTTATCAGCCTGACTCTTCATTAGGGAGTGTAGTGATAGGACGAGGGGTAATGGGTTAACACTTAAACAGGGGAAGTTTAGATTAGATATAAGGAAGAAGTTCTTTACTGTAAGGGTGGTGAGGCACTGAAATGGGTTGCCCAGGGAAGTTGTGAATGCTCCATCCATGGCAGTGTTCAAGGCAAAGTTGGACAGAGCCTTGGGTGGCATGGTTTAGTGTGAGGTGTCCCTGCCTATGGCAGGGAGGTTGGAACTAGATGATCTTAAGGTCCGTTCCAACCCTAAATAGTCTATGATTCTATTACCTGTGTCAGGAAGTTATCATCAATGAACTCTGGAAACCTCCTGGATTTATTGTGCCCTGCTGTATTGTCTTCCACATATATTAAGGGGTTAAAATTCCCCATAAAGATCAGGACCTGCAAATATAAGGCTTCTTCTAGATCTCTGAAGAAGGTTTCATCTACTTCTCGTCCCTGATTGGGTAGCTTTTAGCAGACAGACACCAACTACAGTATCAGTGGCTGTGGGCCAACACTGGGCTGGCTACTAACCCTGAACCAAAAACTTTCACTTGAATCCTTGCTCGACTCAAGGCATAGCTCTGTGAATTCCTGCTGCTATCTCATATAAAGGGCATTATATAGTTGTGGGGAAGACCACTGATTGATAGAGTAGGGGGTTTGCTGGGTGAAGAGGTTTGTGTTGCTTTGTTTAGTTGAAGCTAAGGATAGTAGTAGCTTCTTTTTGTGAAAGCATCCACAACCTTTCTTCAGATTTAAGTGTTTACACACATAAATGATGTTCAAGACTTAGGTTAAGCCATCAAGTGTTGCTACCACATGCTTTGTCTGCTTGATTCCATTCTCATCCAGTGTTCTGTAACAGCTGCAGGGAAGCATCAGGACCAGATTGATCTTGATGTAAAAGAATCCTGTTCACTACCAGTTCATGTATCTTTTTGCTATTACTAGAATGTCCTTGGTGCAGCATCCCAAGACCCCTCTGTTCTGCCTCTTCAAGGGCAAGCTCCTTAATTCCTCCAGAGTACAATGGGACAGACAAGTTTTCAGCTTCCCTTGATGCTTTCATTCATTCCAACAGAAAACCTTCATTAGAGTGTGGAGAATATATTGATTTTTTTTGTCCAGCTTAATCACTCCAAGTTCAAGACACCATAGAGAGGGCCTGACTATACTAATTTTGTAATTATGAACAAAAAAAAGGGAGTTGTTTGTCATTAGGTTCAGGAATCTTAGATTTGGTTCATTCTCATGCTAAGTATGTTGCATTTAATCTGAAATTGCTTTGCTTCACTATTAATCTAGTTTTGACATTTATTCACATACCATGTCTTTCCTCCAGAGTTCAACAACACAATTTAGAGGAACTGAATTTTTCTTTCTTTTTTCTTCTTTTCTCTTGTCTTTCATTTCCCGATCTCCCTGCCATCAGTTTGCATAATTATCCCTTCTTAAATCTGCTCTTATTTTTCTCTCTAATTTCTGAAACATTTCCTAATATTTTTCATTCTATATAAAATCTCATCATTTCTTTCTGTACAGAATGTCTTAAGTGTCCTCTATGTCTGCTATGCAGTTTTTTTCTCTTTCTTTTTCTTCCTTTCAATTCCTTTACTACTTTCTTCTAGTTCTTTCCTACTTACCACCACCATGCTTCTAAATTCCTGTATTTCACCCTTGCACAACTGTCCTTCTTTCCCTTAAATTGCTGTCTATTCTCCTGGGAGTTGTTTTTCCACTATTAATTCTTTTGTTGTTGTTGTTATTACATTCAAGATTAAATCAGATTTTAAAGCAGCAAAAGCATGGGTTCTACCTGCTCAGATACAATACTCCGTCTTTAGTAGTTCACTTCTTTTTTGTTTTTTTTCCTTCTTTGTGGCTTTATTAACATATACTTTCCTAATCCTGTTTCTTTTTTTTTTCATTCCCTTGTCACTCCTTGTGCTTTCTCCATTTGCCATGTAGGTCTTCCTTTCTTGCGTACTTCCTACTTACTAACATGCAACTTGAATGAGTGGCTACATAGGTCTTCTTTGGTTTCCCCTTCATAAATTCTCTCTCTCTCTCCATTTCACTTTTTTGCTTAGAGCAGGCAGTGTGATCCTGTCTGTGTGTTGGAAAGAACTAGTTCCCAAAGATCCTTGTCTTACCTGGAAGCAGGGACTGCAGCTACAGTGCAAAAGGATAATAGTGCCTCTGCTGGGTTCCTTATATGATGTATCACATCATGATGTTATAAAATATCTTCCACACTCAGCCTTCACTGTCCCCAAATGAGAAGAACAGAATTATAAGCACTTCCCCAAAGCACACTCCTTGCTAATACACCTGTATCATAGAATCATAGAATACCAGGTTGGAAGGGACCTCAGGGATCATCTGGTGCAACCTTTCTAGGCAAAGCATGACCAAGACTAGATGTCCCATCACACTGTCCAGCTGAATCGTAAAAGTATCCAGTGCTGGGGAATCCACAAATATGTGCTCTTCTGTTCTTTCTGTCCAGTTTAAAGTAAAATCCTTCCTTAACACCTGACCAGGGTCACTTCAACTTAGGGGATGGTATACTAGATGTTTTCAAAAATTGAACCAGGGGCAAAACCAGTCTGGCTCATCATTTTTCTGCATTGGCTAAAAGATACAGCATATATATATGGTTGTATCTGAGCAGATAGTTGAGTGTTTTGGAGTGTGTACAAGTTTTCATGTCATTTACTATTTGTTTAACAGACCATAACTGCTCTAAAGAAGACATTATAGTCAGTTATGGATATCTGAACTTAAGCACTTCTTGAAAAGTGGATTTCTTGACATGATATATAGAGTCATTAAGTTCTACAATATAAATCTTCTGTACAGCCCTTAGTTGGCAAACCACTGAAGCAGTCATCTGCTCTGAGCCAGCCTCTGCAGTATGCATATATGTTGTCATAGGAACTGCTTTTAAAGTTGCAGAGGAGAAAAACTGCCATGAAGCATCAAATTCTAAGTATTAACAATATGAGTATCTCCTTTCTGATTACTTATGGGTCTTACGCTATTTTTTAACTTTGCTTTAAAAATAATTATAATAACGCTTGTGGTTTGTTTGACTTTTAAAAAAAATTCATAAACAGTTCATTTTTCCAGATTTAACACTTATAAAATTTGTAGCTCTTTTTCTAAATGGAGGAATACCTTCTGGTTTGGTTTTTAAAAAATAAATAAAAGGAGTAATTTAACTTTACTCAGTTTCATAATTCTGGAGTACATCTTTACAATACTAACACATAATGATGTCCCAAAACTTGAGTAAGTAGCACAGTTCCTTCTGATGTTTACAATTCCTCCCATAGCTTCCAAGCTGCTTCTTCACAGTAATAGTAAATGGACATCAGTAAAGCCATCATCCTGCAGTTTTAATCTGCATAATTCTCCTAGACCTAGATTCTCCTAGGCTTCAGGGATGCAGAGGACTGTTGCTTTTTTCCAATCTTCATATTTGTGCTCAGAAGGGTACTTTTTAAACTGTAGCCTTTCTATGACCAAAATGTTTTAAAAATAAATTTATTTTCTCTGTGTATAAATTTCCAGGCACAGTTGGTATGAGGACTAAGTACGTGTCTTCTTTGAGTCATAAGTTTTCATATAAAACTGGAGTTTTAGCAACAAACTTCAATACAGATTATTTTTCATACACTAAGTATGGCTGGGATAGAGTTAATTTTGTTTTGGATCTGTGGCTAAAACTGTTGGTAACACATCAATGACTCCATAACAATGTACAGGGGGCCAACCTACTACAGCCATGAGAGTCAGATTGTAGGAAAGTCCATCTGTTTCAGAACTGAAAATCTTTTGCCACAGAACAATAACTAGTTTATGATATGTGTGCTCTCAGTGCTGCATGTCAACTATTGAATAAGCTCAAGACACCTGTGTTGCATAGCTTTTTTCTATCACAGATTTCATGATCACTCCTAGATGTGTTTGTCACAGAGAGCTGAATGATTTACTGCTTAATATCAGCTTTTTCTTTCTTGTTTTTAGCCCCTTGTGAAGCCAACGCATTCTTTTGCCACAGTAATATGTGTATTAATAATACATTGGTCTGCAATGGACTCCAGAATTGTGTATATCCTTGGGATGAAAACCACTGCAAAGGTAATGTGCAGAACTGGAAATGTCAAGTCATTTTGCCTGCATGGGATACAGCATATTATCCTTAGCTTCTTGTTAAGTATGTGCCAGATGGGTCAAAGCTCAGGAAGAACAATTTAGGGAGAGCATACGTCAAGCAACTGAGAAAATAGAGGTAAAATTACGGATGGGTTTTCTTTTTAGTGTCTGCATTTGTTTTGCTTGGTGTTTTGTGTTGGTTATGTCCTCCTGGTTGGTTATGTCCTTCTGGAAAGCTTTCTGATCACTGGGTCTCTGTTTCTCATACACTCTAAAATGTAATTAGAAGTCATATTTTGGTTTGTTTTTCATAGTTCCCTTTGTAGTGGAGTAACATACGGGTAGCAGGTGTCTTCTAGTTACATTTCATGCCCGTAACAGCCCAGGTGGGCTAAAAATCCAAGGTGAAGTGTAATTGATACTGTAAGAAAGCAACCAAATCTACCTATAATTGAAGAGCAAGGTATAAACACAGGAAATTAAGAATAATATCTCTCATAGGTGGGAACTGATGTTCTTAACCAGGTGCTGAGAACAGTTTCTGAATATTGCTCTGTCTTTCTGGGAAAAAAAAAACAAAAACAAAAACAAAAAAAATAATTCAGCATCTGTGTTGTCTTCAGGGAAAAGAGCTTAATGATCTAACTTTGAAAGCTAGGGAGACAGTTCACTTCCCTCCCACCCTGCCCTCCGTCTGCTGCAGATTTGTTCCTGGAAACATGGGATATGCCAAATTTAGGAACCAATCAAGAAAAAAAATTCAGAATGAGGTGGATTAGCAGTCAGGCCATAAGTCTGCTGAAGCCTGTAAAATCCTGACAAGCAGTGCGACAGGGTAAAACACAAATGAAAAAGTACTTCAAAAGAGCACAGTAAAACTGTGGTATGGCATAATGTTCTTTAAAGAAACTAAACATACAAATGAGAAATAATTATCTGTTCTTTATTTATTCACCACAGAGGAAAACAGAAAAACTTCCTCACTCTTTAATTTACAAAATTATTTTCACCTTTAATTTGTCAAGTACCTTTCTATTGGGCCTTGTGAGCTTATCCTCTCTTATTTTCTGACTGATTCCAACAAAAAAGTTGCTTGTTGCTGTGTTGCTTTTTCTAATTCTGCTACTTCCCCAGAGCCTGCGTCAGTCAGAGAAACCCCAGGTGACTCTACAAAAGCAGGCAATGGGGAGTACTGAAAAGTTAATTTTTGTTATCTAGGAAATTATGAAGAGATGGATGTTATTGCTTTGGTGCCAATAACTTTAATTTCAAAGGCTTTTTATTAAGCCCTTTGATACACTTAAATTGTCAAGAAAAATTACACTAAACTGGGTGTTGCAACCTAATCATTGTTGTTCAGTCTTGCTGTTCCTATGGGAGGCTTATGTGAATGCTTTTTGACATGTAGCAGTTCTACAAGCCTCAGTCACCATCTCATGTGTCTGCAGCCATATGAAAGCAAATCACAGAGAAATACTGTGGTGCCACTTTGGGCGCCACAAAGAACTGTCATGGTTTAAGCCCAGCCACTAACTCAGAAGCACGCAGCCATTTGCTCACTCGCCCCTCTTCTATCTCCCCCTGCTCCCAGAGAGATGAGGAAGAGAATCGAAAGATGTAACTCCCATGGGTTGAGATAAGAGCAGTCCAGTAACTGAGGTATAACACAAACCACTGCTGCTACCACCAATAATAATAGTGATAAGGGAAATAGCAATGGAGGAGAATACAACCGCTCACCGCCTGCCGACCAATACCCAGCCTGACCCAAGCAGTGATCTACCCCTTCTGGGTAACTGCCCCCAGTTTATATGATGGGCATGACGTGCTGTGGTATGGAATACCCCTTTGGCTAGTTTGGATCAGGTGTCCTGACTCGCTCCCTCACGGTTTCTTATACCCCTCCTCACTGGCAGAGCATGGGACTCAGAAAGTCCTCGAGTGTCTCAGACTGCAATTAATGCTGTGCCTTTTTTTTTTTTTCTTCTGTCACACAGAAAAAAGAAAAGCTAACCTGTTGGACCAATTTACAAATACCAGTGGGACTATAATTGGAGTGACTTCTTGCATTGTGATCATCCTCATTGTTATCTCTGTTATAGTACAGATCAAGCAGCCTCGTAAAAAATTTGTCCAAAGGAAAACAGACTTTGATCAAACAGTGTTTCAAGAGGTATTTGAGCCTCCTCATTATGAGTTATGCACCCTCAGAGGGACAGGGCCTACAGCTGACCTTGCTGATGTTGCAGATGACTTTGAAAATTATCATAAACTGCGGAGATCCTCTTCAAAATGCATTCATGACCATCACTGTGGATCACAAGTGTCTAGCATTAAGGGCAGCCGTAGTAACCTCAGCACAAGAGATGCTTCTGTCTTGACAGAAATACAACCCCAGCCTGTAAAACCACTCATTCAGCCCATGAACAGGAGAAATATCCTTGTCATGAAGCATAGCTACTCACAAGATGCTGCAGATGCGTGCGAGATAGACGAAATTGAAGAGGTACCAACCACAAGTCACAGGCTGTCCAGACATGATAAAGCTGTTCAGCGGTCAGTATCAATAGATTTTTGATGAAGACTATTGTGTAAGGACTTGATTGCCCAAACATATTCACTCTTTATTCAGTAAAGACATATTTCTTCTTTATTTATTGTTTAAATTTCTGTTTCCTGATAGCACATACCATTATATTATCTCTTTCTGTCTCTCTTTCTCTCATCTCTGTTCCTGTTTCCTGAAGGACCCTGTATCTCAGTTTTACATTTCTACTTTATAGCTTTCTTTTTCTTTCACCATTTTACACATACTCACATGCATACATACAGAAGTCAACAGAGAACAGGTATAATTTTTAAAAACTAAAGATTCTGTGTGAATCTCATTTTTATAAGAGCCACATACATGTGGCTTCCTTTTAACTGAGGTGGCCTTGAGTATCATCCACTATCGGTCTAATATCTCTAAATCAATACATGAATAAATAAAAACATACATATATTCATTTTGATGCATGGCCAATAATGAGAAACATAATTCTGGGGTAAAGAAACTCCTTTTCCCATGAAAAATTATTTTTCATGTAATGAATTTCAGTATTTCCAAACTTTACTGTAGCTACTGTTCCATTATTAATCACAGTGTCTTGGTTTGTCATAGTAACATATATATAGATAGATAGACTAGAACATGAGACAACATAGTGAATAAAGAAAACTCATATATTTATGCATAAGAATCTTTCTAATCAATAAAAAAATTGTCAAATATTTGACAAATTTAAAAAAATCAAGCATATTTTTAACAAAAGAACTATTTCTACTGTATATTGCACTTTTAAAGACTGTAAATATGAACGATTAAAAGTTTATAAGTCAAGAAAAAGAAAAGCAGATGCAAAAGCATTTATGAGCAATTTATTTGAAAAAAACCCCACCAGCACCAGAAACTTTTTATATATATTTGTATTTTTCATAAAAGCATTATTTATGTAGTTCTTGTACTGTTTACATGCCCTCCATATTTTCTTTGCATATTAATACATTTCTGTCTCTTAAAAAAAGTGATTATTTTAATCTAATTGCATGCCAATGTAAATTTTTCCATTAATATTGATCAGATTATCAAGTTGTACTGTTAAATATCTATAAGTATATATTTTTTTGCTATGCAAACATTATTATTTTGAATGAAATAGCCATAACATTCCAGGTTCTGCCTCATTGGGTCTCTAAGCAAACATGAGTCTGAGTACAACACAACTAGGGTCTAAGAGACAATACTGAGGTAAGTAAACATACCTTTTCAACAACTGAACAATTATGTTGCTTGCCATTGTATTTGCTATATTACTAAAATGCATGTTAGTTCTCCAATTACGTGTCACCTTGTTTGGAGAGAGCCAATATTTGAATAGTGAGAAAATTGAAAGACAGATGACCACTAACATTGTAAACAAAGCAAAATCTGTTAATTCCTTATTCTTGAAAGCATTATAGTCATCCCCTAGCTAAATATAAGAATTCCAAACACTTTATAAATGCAGATGCTTTGCATGGTTCTGGTGGTTTATTTTTTTTATTTATGAAAATAAAATTTAGAGTCCCAGCAGACAAAATAGCATGTAAAACCTGGTAATCTAACCCAAGACAGGAAGATATGGAACTATCTAGTTTCAGTTCTTGTTATTAATCCAGCCTGTTGAGGTGTTGGGGGAAGGGTATGTGGTAGTACTGAGAAGTTTAGGTACTCTGTAGCAGTAATGTTAATGTTTGCAAATTAAACTTCCTTTTTTGAGTCTTTTCCTATTTTCTTTTGTAAGTTGTTATCAACACTTAATAAATATAATCTCAGATATTTATAATGGAGTTGTAGATAGCTCCTAGTTTGTCAATTTATAAATGTATATGTGTATATATGTATATAAACTTAGATATGTGTGTATACATGTTTATATGTATATATTTATACAGCAATTTTACTGGGAAAGAATCTGTTAATGCTTTTACTGCTTCTAGATTAGGTAAATATTTTTTCTGTATTTTTCCTCACAGGTAGAACATATTTTAACTTTGTTTTGCTTTCAGACAACTACTCATGCAGTCTTTCAAATTCTGAATGGAAAAATCTACAGTGAATTGTTTCAATTTCTGAGAGTGGACATGTTTCTAATTTCATTTCATTGCCTTTGTCCAAACCCAAGAAGTACAGACATATTCCACTTCCTTAGCAAGATATTCCCATTGCACAATAATATATTATTTTCTAATTGGGCTGCTGGCCACCAAGTGCTCCTTAGTTTTTAAATACATTTGGAGATTTGCTGCAAGCCTGAAGAAGAAATTAGCTCCTGAGATCTGCCCTTTTTTTTTTTTAATTTTATTTGATATGTTTTATGTCTGTGGTTTACTTGTATGTTGCGTGGTATGTAGGAGAAGATTTTCATTGAACTTTTGTTATATGTACATTGTTTTCATTATATAGACTGCTTGAGAATAGTGCGCTCCTGGGTGATTTTGAACATGCTACAATGAAATGTGAAACTCGTCCTTGGAAACACCAGCTAGAGGTTTTATGGACTCTCTGACCAGCTATTCTCATATCATGACAAAATTCAACAGTGTTGAGTAAAATTACTAGAAGGCAATAAGACTTTGGTTATTATGCTTATCAGTCATTTCTCTTTTTCTCTCTTCTTTTTGTTGCAAGTTAAATTCCCAATTTCAGGAACAATTTATTGAAATCAGGTATTTAGCCATTCATAATCTCCTCAATAGAAATGTTTGTTGGATAAGCATCTAGCAATATGACTGAATTTGACATTGAGAAAATAATCTGCATGTATGTTTACTGAATATTTGAGTTGGCAAAAAACCCTTTATTAGATACATTGTAAAAAGCATGCATTCACAATTATTGCTGTTACTGTTCCATTTCTGTGTCATATGCTTGCTACTTGTAACTTTTTATATAAAAATACATAAAACAATGTATAATAATTTCTTACCTTGAGTTTAATGGCAATGTTTTCTTTTACCAAATATACAAATCTTGTGTAATTCAGAGGATTAAGTTCAAAATGTAGCTTCTAGGAACTTGAAACACGGGTACATTGAAGAATCAACTGTCTCTCATAAAGCAAAATGCATTTTTTTTTTAATTATTTAAATGAATTCATCATACATAAAGTTGATGATTGCCTAATTTCAGTTAAAAGGTTCCTGGTAACCTTTGTATTCAGTTCTGTACTCTTAACTAATTTATTTCCATGGCAATTAGTAGGAGGTTTCCTTCAGTGCAGCAGAGATTTTTATCAGTCATACAAATGTTATGGCTGGGCTCCAGTTTAAGTGTTGCAAATATAAAAAATTTCCTTATGCACGATAAACTCAAATTCATAATTCATGCTATAAACATTAGTAACCAACAACAAAATCAAACTTAAGAGGTTACGTTATTAAGGAATTTTTGGAGATTGAAAAGCCACAATTATGTAAAGTTGAAAACCCTCTCATTTAAGGAGTCAATATGCTAAAATTATAGTTTTATTACTGTTTAAACTGTTGTCTTCCAAATTCTGTTTCAAAACAAATCCCAGTCCCTTCTTAAACGTACTGTGTCATTCATGGTTGTTAGGTTTTCTACATAAAGAAATTTCTAGTTTTATTGGAAAAGTAGGAAGAATTCCATGGATCTTCCTAAAGCATAAGTAGCTGAGAAGAGATTGAAAAATATTGACACAAAAAATAAGGTGATCTATATCACCTATTTAAATATATGATAAATAATTTGCGTAATTAAAAATACAAGTAATCTGATTTATACAAAACAGTTTCTAGAAATATGATTTATAAATGACATGAGAAGAACAAGGGTTTCAGGTATTTGCTTTTTTTTTGTTTCATGTATTTGTAATGTATTTTACATAATTTGATTTTAGCTTGATTAATTTGTTTGTTATCACGTTAGCTGCAAAAAGCAGTCCTCCCTTAGCTGCAGTCATTGAGAGTCATTGAGTCATCTTTCAATTGTATGGATTTTTTAGCATGTTTAAGTAGCTCATTTACGAATCAATATCTCTTACCAAGTTCATATACTTTATAACTGTTTTTTTTCTTTAATCTTTCCAAGACCTCTCTCATGATCCTTTCTTAAGTATATTTTTTGCCACATCCATGCATCCATTATAAAATCAAGGAAGAATGAAAGACTTCCTGAAGGAAATACATAAACATGCACACACATTTATGTATATTTATAAGCATTTGCTAATGGAGATAGCATATAAATAAATATATAAGGAGAAATCTAAATATGTGAATTCAGATTTGAATTAATTTTATTTGTCACCGAGGGAGGTGCTGAAGCCTTGGATTTTAAAGTTGCTATATGTAAGTGCCTAAATCCCACTGAAACACAGGGTCTAGTCCCTCCTGGAGAAGCACACAATGAAATGCAATGATTTTTCCAGTGAAGTGTTAACCTGTATAAACAGAGCAGGCCAAACAAAGTGAGGATGGTAATGCTTACTTGATCTTGGAAACTCCTTTAGAAACAAGTTGTTTAATAGCTAGGTATAACCTTAAACAAAACCAGTATCGTAAGTGACAAAAGATGCATATATTAGGGGAACAGGGTCAAATTATAAATTTTTCTATTAAAAATAAACAAAAATGAATTCAAATACAATTAAAATGTTATAACTGAAATATTTAATTTCAATTAATTTTATTCTGTATATAGTCAGTGTAAATATTAGCCAAGTCCACTATACTGCAAACAGTAAAGATAGATAACTTTTATTGGGTATCACACAATAGCAGAATATCTCAATGTGATCTGTAAAACTCAAAATATTAAAAGGGGTTGTTTCTTAAAGTAAATATTTTGCCTTTCCTATGAGTATTTTTTATTATTATACAGCCACTCTTAAAAACAGGAAGCAGTTCAAGCAAGCTGGTTCAAACAGACAAGGTGGTTTAAGCAACTTCAAGTTTATGCAAGTTCAATTAGCTATAAAGAGAATGCTAAAACCTGGTATTTGACTACATACTGTAAGCAAGGTTTAATCTATTCTATTACACCTTTTTCATTTTATGGGAAGAAAGTTTGGCTGATTAACACAGCTACATGTGTTCTGTGTAACAATTTAGTAAATTAGTGTGGATTAGCTGAGCTGGTATTAGCTTCATGCATTTTACCTGATGTTTGCCTTAAGCTAAACCTAAGAATGATATTTACTAGATCATTTTGGTTTGACTGGTGCAATGTGTGTGTGTGATGTCTAGCTATGTTGACAGTATGCTTATTTCTCATATATTTTTTAAAGGTTTTTTGTTATCACAGCTCATTACCATATTATTCATAGTTTTGGGGTGGTGGAGTTTGGTTTTTTGTTTGGTTTGTTTGTTTGTTTGCTTTGTTTGAGTTTGTTTTTTTCCTTTTCTCATGGGTATAGTGTTATGTATTCATTTTTCTTTTAGGATGATAGTGTGCACAACCACTCCCAAACATTTGCCTCTGCTCTATGAAATAAGGACTTTTCAGTTCGTGAAGTCTTTTCTGCATCATCATTTAAAAATCTCAGGAAATCCATTTTGTAAAACATTCCAGTGTAAATTTACTATCCTTTATTATCCTTTTAATTCTAAAAAACCCCTTGGGGAAAAAAAAAAAAAAGGTCTGAGTAATGTTAGTACCTTATCCTTTATTTTTCTCCATTTTTATGATGGAGTTACTCTCCTGAGCCTAGCAATGATGTAACCAATGGGAAAGAACAGAAAAAGTAGAAATGTTTCCTGCTCAAAAAAAAGAAAAAAAATAAAAAATAAGGCCAGACAAAGAAAAGAAACAGAGAAACAGATAAAGGTATGGTAATTACAAGAAGGAAGGGTTGTTGCTCCCACTAACAAATTCGCAGACACATTTAGGACAGATTCCTTAGGCACAAAATAAAAATGTCCAACTACCTATGTACAACTCCAAAAGATAGTTGTAATACCTGTGCTTTAGAGAACAATGTCCTTCAAACAAGAAGTTGTCCCTTTTGTGTTTTCTTGTCTTCCACTTCATGTGCAATCTCCCTGTTAACACAAAGATATTCCAGCTGAGCCAGCTGAGGGAGCACAGCTGAAAAACTTAAGTGATATAAAGGATGAAATCTGAACCATTCAAAACTCTTTAATACAAAAAGCCATATCTGATCTAGAAGTGTCCTATCTCCTCTTTCCTGACTCAACATTTGATGTGAAGTCACGGACTCATGGTCTCATTGCTCTTCTTCGTCATTACCTTAGCATCATCTCTTTTCTTTTTGAGGATCACTTTACGTATTTATCACTGCTGTTTTTCATTTCTGTCACAGTGAATTTAGTTCTGTTCCCTCCAAATTCATGGAAAATGCTGAAATTTTACTAGCTCACTGACCGTGTGTTATCTTTGCATCCACCTGGCTCATTCCCATCTATCACTTCAGAGCCATCTTAACCTTACCTTACTTATAAACAGCAAAATGAAAACATGTGATTGCAGCGTATCTTAATTACCTTTAATTTATGCAGGACAACAAAAGCTATGAAGATACATGGGAACGGACTGGAGCATGGGCCTATTAGGGACACCAGATTTGTGTTTTAATGCCTGTGCTTCATTGTTGTCTGGGCCATCTACCTCTGGGATGGCGTGCCTGCTCCTGCTATAATTGTACCTTGGTGTGCCACAAAGAGAACTCACCTCCACTCCTTTTCTTCTACCAGTGACAGCTGCATCATTGTCAAGCCAAATTTTGTTTCAAGCACTTTCATTTTTCCTCCTAGGCTATATTTATATTAGTACATCCCTTCACACAACATAAATCACTCTCCTAGCCTCCTTCACATGCCTAATAAAACACATTTAAGCTGCACAGCCTGGCAAACATCAGTCAGTAGCATGTCAGGGCTATCATCAGCAAGGTAAGAACATCAACTAACAGGAGAAGCAGGAGTTGCTGCTTCCCTCCATTTTTTTTTCCCAGGAAAAGGAGTCATGCTGGTCTGCAATCTCCCAACAAGGTCACTGTCGGAAAAAAGGGAAGCTGCCATCCCCTTCAACAGCAAACCGTAGCTAGAAGTAGAAAAACAATCTGAGCAGCCCATGATGAAAAACTGAAACAAGCTTTCTCAGATTTCATCACCAAACGGGCCTGACCAACACCGTGCAGCAGCATTTCACCTCTCAATCCTCAGAAAAGTGAAGACCGAAGTGCAATACTACTTTATCCCAGGAAGCAGGATACCATAACTGCGAGTACTGATTCTGTTCAGGGCTCTGGAAGGACTTACAGCTGTTTGCATAAGTGTAGGCAGACAAGGGCTTACAGGGCAGCTGTCCACATGCAGTGGACAGCTCTGCAATATCTAGTTGCTCAGAGCTTTTAAGTTTGCCATTCTTTATTCTGTTCTCAGCTCCACTGAGGGACATATTAAAAGCACTCAGCTATATCTAAAAGGGTGGTTTCATTTGAAAGTGATTACTTGGCATATAATTTAGTTGGATGTGAAAGGCATCCATGGTACTTGCTGCAGATACTGTAAAAATAGTAATAATAACTGGGGGGGGGGGTTGCACTGGTCCTAGATACATGTATCTGGTTAAATGAATCATTCAGCTGCATTAACTTCACCTGTAAATGAAGACACCTTCCATCTGAGATTTTTCTAACTAAACTGCAGGGCATGATTCATGCTCTGCTCACATTATCCATCTAGATCCTGCTTTTTCCTGGGTTGAACAAAAATTTAAATTAGGAAAAATCAGTTTGTTAAAAGCAAATAGCTTTCACCATCTTTAGTGAAGCACAGAACACAATTTTGGGGAAGGAAAGCTTCAGTCCTCATTTCTTGCTTAGTGCTAGAGAATCTTTCAGCATCAGTGAAAATAAAGGTGAGCTGTTCTTTCCTTTGGTTTGACAAATCAATGATTCAATGCTCTATACTTAATTGACCCATGTAAGTGAGAAAAGGAAG